TTTAACGCAATCTATGTACACATTTCGCTGAAATGAAATGTTTTAGCATAATTCACGGAGGGATTAAAAAACAAATATTTTTCGCGGAGGATGTGGTCTTAATACTGTGAATATTATAGGAACATGTGTTACAGGAATCACCTTTTTCTATGTTATTTTCCAATTATATGCATTAAGACACAATATACATCTTAATGTCCATAGAAAAAGCTAAAAAATGCCAACAAGTTTTTTGAATGTAATGTGATTTATATAAGCCCGGCGGTTGCAATCTCCTAATCTGGAAAGTCTGCGATTTTTTTTTAAATCCGCGTATTAAAACTAAAGTTTTACAAATGTAGGTTGATCGAATGATCGTTTGTATGGAATGATATGAAATATGGGTGATATAAAATGTTTGAAATCACGTAAAAGTTAAGGAACCAGGATACTGAACTATGAACTAGATTAACACAAATCTAATTGCAACCCTTTCTGGCTGTTTCTACTCAAACAAATTAAGCAGAAACTGATGTTTGAAAACTCAACATTTTGTTTTCTAAAATTTTAGGGCGATGGCGCATCCTGATGATTATATTCATAGTGCGCATTAAAAGCAAATTCACTATCATTTTATATTTGTTTGAAAAGGCGAAGTTAATGGCATCGAATTTCCTCCTAGTTGGATTCGGTAGGAACTCCAACGGAAATAAGGAAAGTCTTCGAGAAATTTTAACTTCAGAATTATGCGGAAGTCGAAGAATATAATTAAAAATTCCAAATACTTTTATCGACGTAGAAATAATACTAGGAAACGATAACTCTAAATTGTTTGAAAATCACGGCACGTTATCAAGATATCAAGAAATTTGATGTGGATGCACATGGACGCAGCATGTACTGAAATAGTAACAAAAGTGATTAATATGAATCAAGCCTATAAACCAAACAAATGTAAGACGACGTCCTCTAAAAATTAAATAACGAGATTAGAATTCCAAAGTATAAAATTTGGTAATCTACTCCAAGTCGTGCCAGACCGTATATCTGATTTCACGAGTGAAGATTTTACTTCCTATAGCCACGAAGAGAATATCACACGCATTAAAATAACGACATGATATCCTCGTGTAAACGACCAAATAAAACGAATGAACGTTGTGTATCTGCGGCCAGATTAAAAGCAGGAACAAGATTTTTAAGTCTCTGACCGGCAGCACTTGGCGCTCTGATAAAGAAACCTTGTTGGCTTCTTACAACACGATAGACCGAATAGCAGAATGATGCGATCACTACAGTAATAGCAGAATAGCCAGAGTAGTTTTGGCACAAAAATTACACCTAAGGACATCTATGACGTTATTAAGTTTGGTAGCAGCGAATGGCCGAAAAAAAAAATACAAAAGTGGGATGGTCAAGACATGCCTTGGAAAATATCTAGCTATAATAATATATATTATTTCTTTCACATTTCATGTCTATTAAACCAGTAGTAGGATTTTATCGCTAACTTACCGACAAATTTCGTTAATTACTGAAATTATAAGCATTTTAATTTTACAGACTCATTAAATAAAGAGAGAATTCCACTACAGATCTCATTCAAATGCAATCTCTTGAATTGCTTTATTTAATCATGTGACTCTTATTGTGAAAGCAAAAAATCGGCCAATCCCCAGAATGACTAAATCCCAACAAAAGGTCAAAGGGACGAAATATGTTATTTTGTTAGAAACAGCAAAAAACATTCATTCAAAAACCATCAAAGCATGAACATTATTATCACATTCGGTTTTAAATTGCAATTTTTTAAGGAAAGGAAAAGGTTTTATTCAAAAGAGAAAAATGACAAAAACTGAACCTCAAAAGAAATAATTATACCCTACAACACTATGTGTTGGGGGTATTATAAGTTTGATTGGGCCAAAAATTATGTAACACCACGAAATATTGGTTTCCCATATAGGAAAGTATATATGGATCTTCCTAACTCGCCGAGCTGAGTCGATCTAGCTATGTATGTCCGTCCGTCCGTCTGTCCGTCTGTCCATGTTAATTTGTAATCACGCTACAGGTCGCAATTATGGCCCGATCCTTACGAAATTTTGCTCGAAGGTGGGGTTTGGGTCAGAATAGAACCCTATTGCTTTTGGAGATGATCGCCAAATGTTTAGGGGTTGAAATGGACCAAATACTGAAAAAATGTCGGATTTTGCAGTAGCTATACAGGTCGCAATTATAGACCAATCGACCAATCGGAATTTCGCATGTAGCTAGAGTATAGGGCAGGGAAGAAGCCTACCAATTCGGGTGGTCATCGGATAATATTTAGCGGGTAAAATAGACCATATCTTTTGTGTTGAAAAAATTCAAAATTTTTCATTAAACCGCGAATATTTTAAATCCCAGCGAAATCACAAAGCCATGACAAAGTTACTTCTGATCTTTACATTGATGTTAACATCCAACTAATCGGATATATAGCAAAATATGTGCGATATATATGTCTATCAAAGAAGATATGCTTGAAAGATCTCTTATATGTCGAGAACGGCTGAACTAATTTCGACAGTTCTCATTAATTCAGAATGGCCTCTTGGCAGGAAAGAAAAAACGTGTAAAAAATCGCATAAAAATATCTCTAAAGATGAAAATATTGATTTTCTAAAATTTTCTCATATTTTTTCAATTTTGTCATATTTTTGGCATATTTTCATTTTGAATTAAACATTTGGTAATATTTCTACAGCTAACAAAACTAAGTAGTTAGGATATCAGGATATCATATACAGATCGCATTTATTGCCCGATCCTTACGAAATTTTGCATGGAGAGGGTCAGAATAGAAGCCCACTGTTTTTGGAGATGATCGCCATATATTTAGGGGTTGAAATGGACCAAAAAACTGCAAAATTGTCAGTAGGTCGTAATTATCGCCCGACCCTCACGCACATTTGAATGGGGGTTACCGGACATTGCAAAAGCCAAGCAGTTTTGGATGGCCATCCAAGAATATTCAATGTGCGAAATAGTTTGCCAACTTTTGTAGACAAAATACGAAAATGTCCATTCCAGTGACTTTTTGGAGAATTCACAAATACAGGAAAGACACACTTCTGACTATTTCGTTAACGCTGATTTCGTTGAAGAATATAGTCAAATGTCTGTATCGCATATAGATGCGTTTCAGTCAAAAACCAATAATAAATGTTAATCTTTTGCCACTTCTGAGAGATTATAGGTCTTTGGGAATATTGGTTCAGATCTACGAAGACCATTTACGTGCAACATCTACCAATAAATTGGAAATGAGCAAATTAGCTTAAGTTGCTATTATTCGAAAATTAGAGAACGAAACCTGATGGTTTTCTTTTATTATTTGTCACAATATCTTGTGGAATTCTTTCGAGTATCTCGTCGTATCGTTTATTATAGTGTTGTAGGGTATTCAACGGTCGGCCCCGCTCGACTGTAGCCTTTGCTTACTTGTTTTACTTTGCAGAAGTATTATTACATATAGACAATGAAGTTCCAACTAAAAAAAAATTTCATAAACAAAACACTTTGATTTCACACCTTTTTTAATCACGAAAGATCACGGAAAGTTTTAAATAATCATTTCACGATTTATCTAAAAATCAACGAGCAACTCTAATGACCAAACCCTTTCAAGTTCTTCGTAAGCAACCCAATGTGATCGATTAAATATTATTTGATTGAAAGTAATTCGTTTAATTTAAACTAATATTTTAATAGCAAAAATCATTAAATATTACCGAATTTTATACCATCGTATGGGAAGGTATATTAAGTTTATCATACCCTTTGTAACATTTTAGACCCCACAAAGTATGTATATTCTTAATCAGCATACAATTCTACGTCGATTTAGCGATGTCCGTCCGTCTGTGGAAATCACTCTAGCTTCCGAACGAAATGAAGTAGGTTGATAAAATTTTACTTAAATGTATATTATGTCTGTAGGGCTTTTGGTATTGAAAATTGGTAGGTCCACGTTTTGGTATAGCCCCCATATAATGGTACCTCCCTACTTTCGGTATTTTAATGATTTTACCGACATTATTCACCGGAATTGTTTCAAATTTGGTATTTGAAGTTCGTAATGGATGCTACAGCCTATGGCAGAAAATTGTCTGTGCAGGTCCATGTCTTCGTATAGCCCCCATATAACGGTACCTTCCGATATTCGGCACTTTGATGATTTTAGCGACATTATTCACCGGAATTGTTTCAAATTTGGTATTTGAAGTTCGTAATGGATAATAATAATAATGGAATGGAAAATTGTCTGTGCAGGTCCACGTCTTGGTACAGCCCCCATATAACGGTATCTCCCGATATTTGGTATTTTGATGATTTTAGCGACATTACTCACCAGAATTGTTTCAAATGTGGTATTTGAAGTTCGTAATGGATACTACCGCCTATGAAAGGAAATTGTCTGTGCAGGTCCATGTCTTCGTATAGCCCCCACATAACGGTATCTCACGATATTCGGCACTTTGATGATTTTAGCGACATTATTCACCGGAATTGTTTCAAATTTGGTATTTAAAGTTCGTAATGGATATTACAGCCGATGACAGAAAATTGTCTGTGCAGGTCCACGCCTTCGTATAGTCCCCATAGTCCCCTCCCTATAGTAGGTATTTTGATGACTTTGCTACATTATTCACCGATTTTTTTGTTCAAGTTTCACATTTGAATATTGTAATGGCATATGACAAAAGTTGCCTATGCAGGTCCACGTCGTGGTATAGACCCTAATATAACGGCTACATTCGGTATTTTTAAGATTTTAATAGAATTTTTAACGGATTTTATTATTTTAAAGATTGCCAAATTCGTTCCAAACGGTGGATGGTATTCAACAGCATTTTTACTTGTTAACATAAAAGTATGTTTCGGAAAATAATTGTTTGACACTGACTTTTTAATCTATTTTCTTTTTCACAATACAAGTTTTAAACACATTTATATAACGTAAAACAGGATCTTACCTCATTTCGGTCCTCCATCGTTTTGCGAGTAAATGTACTGTGTTTTATTTTCTCTGTACGCGATAAATAGTTAATGTATAGTCTTTTGTCATAACAAATGGGTCCAGGCTGTAGGGACATTTCAGCTGCAATTTCTTTTTGGCGTTCTATGGTAAGCTTCGGTGGTACCTAAATATGGAAAAATCAATATTTTTTTGTTTTGTAGTAAATCAAGTAAATATGTATGTGTTTATTAGTATTACATTATAAAGTGCAGTGTTTAATACACTCTGGACGAGAGGTGCCTTTACATGCGCATCCAGTGGCAATTCTGAATGCAATGATGGTGATATGTTGACTTCCAATAGCCATGGGATTAAATCAGCATCTAATAAGACATCAAACCCAAACAGCTCGAAACAGCTATACTTTGATTCCACATTAGTTCTAATCATGTTGTTTATAGAATTTTCTCCAGCTAAAATAGTTCGCAGAACTAAGCTCCGTAGGGCATCCCATAAGAGTTCAGTATGTACGCCACGGTTTCCTAGATAATTCCACAGTGATTTAATTGTCCATTTGTGACCGTGGCAAGCATTGACATCTTCGTTTTTCGCATAATTTGATGAAAATTTATTGATACTGTAATTCGTTAAGTGCATACACCGATCACTTAACGTATCCGATTTATCACTGTATTTGACTTTTAATAGACATAAAATATTATCCACGCGTTAAAATTATTAAAATAATTTATATACCTGATGCAAAGCGGGCTAAGCCATTGTGATACATGAAAACGCGTAGTGGATTCATCGATGTTACTAGAACATATAGTCGTAAATCAAATTTACTACCATTTATTAGCAGAGGACGCTCAACGTATTTCTGGACAATAAAGGACTTTCGTTTGGGGATTTGTGCCCATCTGTCCACAACTCTTATACCGGAACCTCTAGCACTAGCTGGTGGCTTGATAATCCATTTGACATTTCTCTGGTAGTATTTGGGCCAACTTTTGCGAAATTGTTTTAGGTCATTGGGCATAATGTACGTTCTAAATATTCATGACAGATCGGTGTGGGTTAATGTATGATAAAACTGAAAATATATAAAACCCAAATCGTACTTACTTGGGCATAAAGCCAAATTCCTTCTTCCCATGTTTTGCCATTTGCTTAACTAGATTTTTCCAACATGAATCTTTGCGACCAATCTTAAACGAACCTGGTAGGTGATTTATTTTTTGATAGGGGCGTACTGTTTTGAAACATGGCGACTTCATATGTTTCCCCCAAACCCCCATCCAGTCATTTGTTTCTATAAAATTAATAAAATTGCAGTATAAGTGTTACTTCAGTAATTCCAAAATGAAAACCTACTTTTTAGCAATCGCATTCCACTATTAGATAAAATCGTTCGCACTACTCTTGGCATTACTGTCGTAACTCTCCATTTTAGGATGCGGTATAAATCAGCCGGAACATCTGGACCTTTTTTTGTATTTGAAGAAAATGCTAAATACGGTGGTACATTAGGAAATAAACTTGGCACTAGAAGGCTTTCTGGGTTCGTTAAACTATCCACAGAATTAAGGGAAGACAAAACAGATGCAGTGGTCGAAATAGCATCAAATGAATGTGTGAATTTGTAGGCATGTGATCGATAACATTCTTCTGAATCGGAAGATACATCGGAATCATCGTCCTCATCAAAGTCAGAAACTAAATACAAAGATGAAAAAAGTTTACATTGTTAATAAAAATTAAGTAATCTGTAAGTGCTACAGGCACTTACAACATACATATTAAAATAAGCAAACGCTAAGCCGATCAAGTGATATCCTACAACACTATAATTTCTGATAAAGATAAATCTGTAGATCTGAACAAGAGATTGGAATATTTAATTGGCCTATGTAAAAATGCATTACAAAATAAATAAAGTTTGTTCTCTCTTACAAACAATGTATTCAATTTTAATTTACCTTCCTCTGTTCAAAAAATCCGCATAGATCGGAAGCCACAAAAAAAAAAAAAATATATATATATATATACATATATATATATATATATATATATATATATATATATATATATATATATATATATATATATATATATATATATATATATATATATATATATATATATATATATATATATATTATATATATATATATATATATATATATATATTTTTTTTTTTTTTTTCCTTTTTTAGAAATATACGTTTGCTAGAATAACACTTCATTTAATTCATGCATATTTATGTTTTTGGCCCATTCCCCTCATCAAATAATGGCAAAGGCGTTTTCTTGCAGTATAGAAAAATGTAGATGACCTTTAGCATTAAAAATATTTACATGGGAGTGTAAATTGTTTTCATTCTCTAATTTGTATGTATCCCAAACTCTAACTCCATGCAACATTCCGCGTCGATTGGTTGACAATTTTAACAAGTAGAGCGACTGCAAAATCGGGAAAAGTTATGTTTTTTATGCACTTAAATCCCTAAATATTTTCCGATTTCCACCATAATAATATAATAGGCTTCTATCACGGCAGCCCAAAATTTTGACATGTTACAAGTTAACAAATTTAACATAGCTATGCGAAATAGCAAGATTAATTTTTTTACATAGGCATCTAGAACTATTCCGAGGTGTTACAAAAAAAAATATTAAAGTGTGTTTAATTTGTACTTAATAGAGCTTCATTTTTCTGAGTTTAATGAATATCTGTAGAAACATAATGTGTTTATATTGCATACATACCATCATCCAATTCATGATCACTATCACTCTCTTCGGAAGAAAATTCTTTAGAATCAAATGTTGGTTTGTTTGTTATTGAATAATTACTATTTCGATAAGAAATCGCAGACTTTGTTTCTCCGGAATGACAAACTTTCATAATTTTGGGTAATGCATCCGGTTTGCACTCAACGATAGCTTTTGTTTTCGTTCGCAAATTTCGTTTATGGGAAATCAAGTGAGATAATCTAGGACTTTGATTACTGTAAATTAAAACCCGACGATTTTTTGATGAAGGTGAAGTTTTTTTAACAGTTCCTACAATAGAGAGAGAAAAACATACCATTATATTGTCGCTTTTATTAACATTCAAAAATCACCTGAATGTTTTTCACCCCCTTCTGATGAAGTGAGTGAATTATTTTCATTTTCATCATTTTTAGTTCTATTACACGGCTCTTCGTCCGATCTTTCATAATTGTTTAAATAATCTTTGGTCCTTTGATATTCAAGTAGTTCTTTGCTTTTTCTAGAACTATTTTTTTGGGAAATAATGCATTTTTCATCGGCATAATATTTAGATTTTTGGTACTTGTGAGCATCATTTTGTTTTGAATCTATGTATTCATGCATACTTTCAATGGCAGTGAGGTTATATGAATCACAGTTCCAACTTCCATAAGCAATCTTGTCATTGTTGTTGGCCGATTTCTCTTTAAGTACGTGCTTTCTGTATTGGCGGGTCGTATCTGAATGTTCATTGTAGTCATTCTGTAATTCATACTTATCAAATGTCAAATCCTCATTAGATTGTAAGATATTTTTGGACGAAGGCATGTTACGAGCAGATGGTAGATTTCTTGGCCTAGACTTGTGTGGGGTATTTGAATTTCGATTGCAAAAGCAGGTATGGTTCTGTCCGTAATGACAGGCGCTACGACAATCGCCAAAATCAAAATTAAAACTGTAATAAAAAATAAAAACATTACCAATAATGCTCAGCACATCAGAGTAAAATAAAAAAAAATGCTTTTATATACGATGAAACTTTTTTTGTATTACGAGAAATGTTGTTCTCGCTAAATAGTTATCTCAGCTATAGTCTCGTTATTATATTTGCAAAACTGCAAGTAATTTATCATAATATATGATAATTCAGAGCGGTTGATGAGCTATTTTTTTATTTAGATCTCAAATCCAAACTAAACGGAAACGGTTTATGTTTTTTGTTATACATTATTTTTTGTAATGAAAATGTAAAAATCAATGAGCTGCATCAAAATATTTCTGCTGTCAAAAGTTGAACCGGATGGCCCATTTTGTGGAATATTAGAAAAACGTTAACCACGTGGCAAGATTTTCTGTCTTTTTGGAAAACAAAACGTATTGCCGTATAATTGAAAATTATGAAAAAACAAGTCAAATCCTAAATTTTTTTTAAAAAGCCTCCAATCGCTCAGATTCTGCAATATAATTTGGGTTAAAGTTGGAATGAACTAATCCTTTTTCTTATGGGTGTTTGAAGCATTGTTATCATTGTTATCTGAATATATAGGTAAGCAAAACCAGCATCAATGTACGTCAGGAGGTCCACGTTTATGTATACGCGATCTCCTCGGGAAGTTAACTTCAGAAAGCAAAATATTCGTGTTCTAGTCCTTTAGGCTTATCTCCTGTTCTAAACTCTAACATCTGCCAACATTTCGTTTCTACCGGCCCATAATTGTGTTTTTGGTACATTTCATAACCTAAATGTATTGCGATCACCACCAACCAAAAACTATAAGGGTCAATTTCGGTTGGTCCTTGATGCGATATTTGAGAATTGAAGTTTGATTATAAATTATAATGGATGGTAGGACACACATAGCTAGACCAACTCAGCTCATCGAGATATGATGATCAGTATACAAAATGGTGAGTCTAGGACCAATATTTCGTGGTGTAACAAACAGGCAGAAGTACAACACAGTGAAAAATCGAGAATACATATGAGAAAATAGTGCACTCACTGCCAATTATTACGAAAAAAAGTTTCACCATTGATATAAAAAATTGTTACGGTTCCGAAAAAAATAAACAATAATCAATAAGATCATGGAAATGGTTTTTGTGTGATTAGTTATAAATGAGTGTAAGATTTCATTAAAATCTTAAAATAAACAATTAAGATATTAAGGGAGAAAATTATTACTGTCGGCAACGATGACGTTGTTGCACATGTGGTTCTGATTCTTCTCTAAATTGGAGATTTAGCGATCGCTGATAATTGTTGTTTGCATTATTGCCATGTTGCAAGTGAACACTTTTTGGTGGGGCACAATTTGCATTTGATATGAGTGGAATATTGTTATGTTTATCGGCATTGGTGTAAAAACAGCGGAACTGGAGATCATTTTGAGAACGTTGTTGCTGTTGTGGCATATGATAATAGCGGTAGTGTTCTTGTACTTGTTCTCGATGGAGCTCGTTGTCATATTGATATGCTGTTAGTAGTGAGTTTGCCGAAGGATCTTCTTCAGTGTTTAAATCTTCATATTTCATATTTTCATGCATTCTTTGCAGTGTTGACTGAACGTTGCTTAATTTAACTCCATTGAGATAATATTCACATTCGTCATCGGTTAAGTGATTTGATATGCCAAAGTGGTATTTTGAAGACATTATCGCCAAAGTTATTTAATTACTTTTATTAAGAAACATATTATTTGTAACTACTTATTAAATGAATATCCAAAATACACGAAACTGAAAATGAAATGTATGCAAAATTTTTTAATATTTTACGTGTATTAAAATATTGGTAGATATATTATACAAATTACAAAATTACTCGAGATCGGAATCCTCCATTACTAACAGTTATTTAATTTTAGGATTAATTTTCGTCCATCAACTATTTAATAAACACACAAAAAATTTAACTGCATTAAAAACCACACTATGACAATTTTGAAAGTCGTGGAATTTGGGGTGACGATTTTAGCATATATTTTGAATTGAATTGAATACAGTCTTGAGTAAGTCTAAGCTATTAACTACACCCAATTAGCCAATATAAAATATAGGAAATTTTTGCTCCAACCACATTCCTTCATTCTAAATAAAAAGTTGAGCCGATTTACTTATACAGGATTAGTTATACCATAAACCATATGTTTTTATTCGCTAAGAAACTCAACAATTTATAATAAACAAATATCGATTTGAATTTCCTCTTAAGATTATGGTGGCTAAAGAGTATACTTTTCACTATTCCAAAGAACACAGCATTTCTCACGTTATTACAGCGTCCACCAGTCGTAAAAAATCAACTCCATTCCTAACAATTTAAAATTAGTAATCCTATTAATGAAAATTCACTCATGTTTTAATAATAATATAAAATAATTAAAGATCCATATCATTTTCGGATACCGACTGGGCTATGCAAATTACCAAACTTCTGGGGAGAATATCCCAGACAAAAAATAAGGGAACTGATGAGTATTGGTTAGCCTAAGTATTCCCGGCCTTAGCCCCTGGTAAACATTGCCATCGTTCTCCACTAATAAACAAACGTTGTTTTTATAAAAACAACAATAAAGGGATTAAGCCTGACCATTTTACAACAACTATACCAGAATATGTTTAACTTTTTATTACGATATCTGGACGGAAATAATAAGAAAAAAGAAAGAACATGTGTGTTGTTTTTTGTTTTGATGATTCAAAAAGCAGTTTGGGTTTCAGTTAAAAAATTGAAATAGAATTTTATTTACTCTAGTATATTTTACAAGACTCATATAAATCATCGACTTTTCAGAAAGCTTCTTCCATTATTTCATCATTATTTTTTCGGGATAGTATTTTGTTTCACAAAATAGATAGGCTTAATCCCATCATGTATTTATAAAAATAACGTTTGTTTATTAGTGGAGAAATATGGTAATATTTACGAGGGGGTAAGACAAGGGAGAATATCACCAGAAAATAAAAACAATTACACTGATGAGGATTGATGACTCTTTCCGAAACCTAGGGAATACCTTACACCCTAGAAACAAGTTTCTAAGTAAACATAAGTTTCTAAAGTATTTTATAGAAGACCTTATTTTTCGAACCTCAAATACTTTTCCAATGAAATAGCCTGTTTTTTTTTAATTCCCTGTCGAATACGACCTACAAAGGGAAATAACTAATTAAATGGTAATGCGGAAGCAAGCCATTCAAACGGTCCCAAAACAAGGAAAATGTAGAAGGATACTTACGGAAGTTCTGGAGCAATTATTGGAAAAATATGGACTTTCGTAAGCAATATATTTAAAATATTTCGTTATTGCAAACAGGTTTACAAGCGTTTTCGAAATGATTTACGAGAGGGTGCTTAACATGACTTGTTTCAAATGATATTGTGCATATGCACTTCCAACTGCATCTTTGGATAGAAAATATTTTGTTTTTGTCATTTATGTGCAAGAATAAGATGTTTGCAAAATGATGTTATCAGAATGTTTAAACATAACCGCCATTTAATTAAGTAAACTTGAAAATTTAGTTGGACAGCTAATCATTGTTCGCGAAAACAATATTAATTTTTTTTATAATTATGTATGTATCTATCTGGACGTGCTATTCAGTATAATGTAATTTACTTTCTACACATTTAACACATTTGGTTGGTAATCCTTGAACTGTGCTTTGAGGATTTACCCTATTTCCAATTGTTGACCTTATAACACAGTTTCAATATCGGTACATTAATTGACCTTATGTCAATAAATTACACACAACTAAGAATGATTTTTACTGTGTCGGCATTGGGGATGGCTTGCTTAAATTGTTTAAATAAATGAACTGTTAATCCAAATGTTTTAAAACGGCTTTCGATTTTTAATTCAATACTACATACAATGTAAAGACAAAAAGAACACACAGGATATCATTAAACTCTTCATTCGGCAGGGAGTGTTACTATTATCACAACAATTTCAAAGCTTAGCTCGTTTTTAAATCAAGTACAGCAGCGAAGGAATTGACGACTAAAAATTAAAAAATATACACATTGAAATAAATTTGAAACAATTTTCAATATGCTGTGTATGCAAAAAAAAAACGTGCTGATATTCTGAGTTTTGTTTTCGTTTAGGGATAGGTAAGTCGACTTCCGATTAATCGAATAATGTAGTTAGTGGAAGCGTATCGCACACCATGATCCCACCCAATAAAACCATGTGTTGGCCGTAATAGGTGTGTACAGCTTAATAAAATAAATAAAAATAAATGTCAGGAAAATTGGGGAAAATTACGAAGGTGGGAAAATTGCGTCCAATGGCTGCCGTATAAAAGGGGTAACGGATAGAAAATTCGCCATTGAAGTTTTGGTGAACGAATAAGAAAATATAATAATCATACCTGGAAAATAAAAAATTGAACCCAAATTAAGTATAAAAAAGTTGGAAGAAAAGTTTCTGTAAAATTTATTTCATTTGCTGTTTGTTGTGTATGCGTGTGTGTGAACAAAATTTTGTAAGTTTTTGTTGTTTTAATAGTGTATGGTTTTTTGGTGTTTCGATGTTGTTTCTTCTTTTTAAGATCTTTTTTTAAGATAACACCAAACTAGATATCTGACCCCTCCAAGTTTTCTGTGGTGAAGGTAAGCAGAATTTTATTCAAAAAGTGCAGCCAAGGGGCTGATCTGCCTAGAAAAATCCGTGGTTGAGGCCACGGATCGGTAGGAGTGGACATCCATATACCTTGATGGTTGGATGACAGAAAAGTCAGCATCTGGAAAACAAAGAGAATATATAAGTAATAATTCAGGTAATAATCCATGGTAATCCATGATAATAATCCAGGTAATAATTCATTTATTTATACCTACCGAGTCCTAACCGTTTGTTGCGGCCAAGTGGCATAGGCATATCTTCCTCCTGCGGCCTGAAATACAAAAGAGAGTTTGCTTTAATAATTGTTATTTATATGTGATGGAATTTTAAAAAAGAATGACACAAAAACTTTTCAATGACTAATATAGTTTAAATATATGTATCTATTAGTTTAAGTGTGATTGTCCGTAGTATATAAAATTTACTTTACGATTAAAATATTGTGCAGATTTCTAACGCCCGGTGACATACGTGAGCGTAGGGTTAAACGTTTGTACGAAGACAGTAATTCTTCAGTATTATTGGTTTTGGACATATGGTAACGTCCATGATACCCCTTAACAGAGCTCTATTAGGGAGGAACATGGCCCAATTATAAGGTCGACAAGTAAGACCAGCTGGTACCTACATTTTCTGTCAACATAATTTGAATGCGCCTGACAACTACAATTATAAACAATAAACAATATAATTACTTGTCCGTTATATTTTGTCAGTTAATTTTGTCAAATTTTAAAAACAAATAGAAAGATATTTTTTTTAATTTCGTTCTTCTCTTTATTAACTTGTGTGCGTGAATTAACAATGAGAATTTGCAAGATATGCAAAAGAAAAGAACTTTTTCTCTGTCCCCAGAGATGAAAACACCAAAGAAAAGTGGAGTCAAATGTGACAAATCAAATTTGCAGCTACATCAAAAGTTTGCACAGACCATTTCAATAAGGCATATGTGGTGCAGTCATTAAATTGAGACTTCTGACAATGGCTATGCCAGAACTCGGACCACTGCAATTGAGCATGTAAGCAATGGTAGAGAATAAAATTTAAATATATTCCTAATTTTATATTATAGATGTGATGGAATAAGATAAGATTATTATTGAGAAAACAGAAACGGAATCGTGCCCTTTTATTGGAAACCAAAACATCAAAAGATCAGGAGAATCAAACAGAGTAATACGTTAAGTCTTTATAAAAAAAAAACAAATATACCCCAAGCCGCATAAAGCTCAGTATATGTGTTTTTTGTTAATTATAATAATTATCTTAGATATTTTAAAAATTTCGTTCATATTTATTTTGATATTTGAAATATATCTTTAAAACAAGAATAAGTAATTACATTGAACCATTGATTATATTCTTCTTAAACTATTTACATCGAGGATCCGTTTCTGTATGACGATACGAAAGAAAATGGGAATAAAAACACAAATTCCGTGAAAAAATTTTGAAGAAAACAGAAGTAAAACTAATTTCTTTTGTTACAAAGGGAAAGACAAACTTAATATAACCTTCATAGTATGGTGAATGGTAAAAAACTAGTTACCTTTAAGTGGGGTTTTGCGATATAGAGAGAAAGGTGTTCGTGCATAGCTTTCGTCTATTCACTGAAGCCGTGGTTTTTAATGATGTGTTGCTGCTATACTCATTTGCATTTGCACATAAGTCTATCTCAGTTGACTGGGCATGAACACCACAACTTCCTATATGCTCCGTAAGAACCATTGCTTTTTATCATTAGTTCAAAAGCCAGCCCTAGGCAATATATTTGCATAGCCACCACCTTTTAACAATGCTATGAAGAAAGTGTTGGCATATCTCGGAAAGTATGAACATCCACATTAAAAAAACTGCATTCGTCGTCTTTCAAAACAATGAAATAAAGACAAAGATTCTTGTGAAACGTTGAGTGTCCATACCGTTTGATGTGGGACTTTAGCAAAAACAAATTGGTGAAGCTAAAATTTAAAGAAGATATCAATAAATCCGAGTTGCTTTTATTTATTTTTTTACATACACAAACATTTCCAAAATAAATAAAACAGAAATTCGCTTCAATGTTATTCTGTCAAGGCGAAATACTTTTTTCCCCCTAATAAAGAAGTTTTGTCAATACATGTAGGTGGAGGGTTGTATTTTTTGCAATATCGCTTTCTGGTCGACCTTATAATTGGGCCATGGGGAGGAAGTAAATCCTTAAAGTGGCCAGATTGGCAAACATAATAGTTCTCTTCGTATACTGTAGTAGCCCGACATAAATCGACATTGTTCAAATATTTTATTGTTAGGATTAAGTCAAGTCAAAAGATTTAATGTAAATATGTAAATTATCTATATGTGTAAATGTGTATCATTAATATTGTTTAGCTTTGTAGAAACTGTACATGTTGTAAAAAATTGTTTGTGTGTTGAATGTTCTTCTTTAAATTCTTATCTAATTTTTATTTGTCTTTTCCGAAGAATGTAAATTAGTTAAATAATGAAAACACTTAAGATGCATTTGTTTTCCATATGTTATGTTTATGGTCGGTAATAAATAATGTAATACATGTCACGGCCATAAATAAAAGATAAGAAAGGGTCGATCACAAATTAGGTACGTTTCGTTTTCTCCCGCAACGTGATGTGTGCGTTAATGCACAGCGTGCATTTGTAAATAAAATGCATGTGTTAATGTATTAGATGTAAGCTTTAGTGTTAAGAATATGTTGTAAATAAATTGAGTTCCCTTCCAGCCACGGAACGAGAAACATCATCTCGCGGCGTTTTCTTTTTCTTTCGTTAGTTACACCGCTTTGTGATGAGGTTAGGAATCGACCTCATCAAATATGATGTGTTAAGTTTTTTTTGTAAGGGAGAAGATTAGGAGGTAAGTCACGATTCGGCAGGTGTGTGCGGTTTTAGGGGCCCTTTGAATATTTCAAAAATTAGGACTAAAGGGTCTAGGTAGGGTGGGCCAAGTGTGGGAACGACAACAGCAAGTTCACTGGTCATGATCGTATGTTGTGTTCGTGTCGTTCTATTTTGTTTGTGTTTCACTTCTCACCTCATTGTTCGACCCCTATGGCTGATGGTGGTAGGGTTGAGAACCCCCTGTAAGTGTATGCCCCGACTGAGCGAGTTGGAACCCCACCATAGCGCCGCATTAGGTGGTACCGTAAAAATATGGCGCCCAAACTTAAACAGTATTTGTCCTGACTTTAAAGTCAGGAGCGTGCAATAACTTCCATGCACTTAACAATAGACCATAGGGTAAAATAGCTAAAACGAATATCGCATTTCCTAATAAACTAACGGATATTGTATCCACATTTTGATTTTACAATCTGTGATAATAGTGCAATATTTAGTTTAGATTTTTAGAAAATTAGGATATCTCGTTCCACAGTGTAGGGTGTAGTACAATAGCTCTTGTTCGTAAATTGTAACAATGAATGTATTGTGTTTATGACCTGTGTTAATGTTTTCGTTTTTTTTTTATTATTTTTTTAGAGTAATTTCCATAGACGTAGGTTTCGCATAAGGAAAAGTGCAATATCTGGTATGACAGTAGTGTCGTATACTGTATTCTGCAATATTTTCCAAGCACGAGATCCCTTTTCTTCAAATATTAGGAAAACTGCCATGATGCTAAGCCGGTAACTAGTCCAAGTTCATTTGTTTTAGCCCATTCTGTCAATACGACATGACTACCTTTTAGGACACTGTTTTAATAAAGAAGTTATTTGTCACAAAAAAAAATATATATTTAAAATAATAAACCACACATTTTACCACGTAACTGAAAATACAGCTTATGACCGTATGTGTTATCAGCGTTTGTTATTTAATTTAATTTTGTGTCTTGTTTAAGAAAAACGTCTATTTAATTGACAACTTTATTTTGTTTTTATATATCTGTCTACTAATATTTTATTGTCATCTTACTAAGTAGTATTAATAAGAGTAGCAAGTAGTGTAGTATTATTTTTTGTAAGATTCATCTCTTTTTTTATTTAACAACAATATTTTTCAATCTTTCCGAAATCTTTGCAATTTTCAAATGAGCGACTCCAAATCCGCTTAAAGAACTAGAAAAAGGAATCGGTCATTGACATTTGATTTAAGCAGATCTATTCTGTCACCTAAAAAGAAATCCAAGAAAAAAACTAACATGCAAAACGCCAATACTAATAATGACCCGTCCATTCGAGATTTATCTGACTCTATTTTGAATAATAACTCCAGCACTAGTGCGGCAGCCTAAATGGCTCAAAATTACCAACCTAGAAGTTGTACTAGAATCCAGATGTTGTCAACTTAGTTAGGAGTCTTGTCCAAGACAGTCTTAACCATGCAAGGGCAAATCTTCAGTCTCTAGTGCAGGAAAGTCTGTCTAAAGAAATGGAGAAAGTCTATGGTGTAATTAATAAGCAAAGCGAAACAATATCTAGGTTATCCATTGATGGACGTGTGGCTCCACATAATCTTTCGTCTCAGCCACCTTCCAATGTGACACCTCAACCTCAACAACCGATTAGAGAAGCTCAACCGCAAAATTTGAACAAAAATCCACCTATAAATCGTAGAAATACAATTACACCATCATTTTTAAGTTTTCCGAACGGCCATGGAATCAGGGTTGAAAGATTCGGTACAAATTTCTCTGAAAGACCGATTAGTCTTACCGTAGAGGATTTCATCTATCGTTTAGAATATTTCCAACAGCACTACAAGTTGGGATGACATTTTAAATGAGTTTCACATTCTAGTTTCGGGACCGGCAATAGAATGGTTTTGGTTGCAACAAAGGAACAATAGTATAACAGGTTGGGAATCATTGAAACATGGGCTACTGGAACGTTTTAAAACAAGCGAACATGCTTCGAGGAAATGAGAGACTTGTTAGAACGTAAGCAGATGCCAGGGGGATCAATCGACACGTTTTTTCACGACATCAACACAATGAGATCGAAGTTGGAAAAACCGGTTTCTGAGTTCGAAATGATTTCACTGGTCAAAAAAATCACCGGCCATGGGTTCCGAGACTGTCCATTATCACAAATGAGCTTCAAATGTGGAAAGCCCAACACCGCTGCCCCAAAATGTATGAATTGTAGGTCGGAAGTAAGAACGCGGTTACAGTGGGGAACCAGCGTTCCAGCGAAAAACTCCCGTTCCGAATCCCCAAATAAGCTAAATGGGACTGAGAGAGAATCTAACTTTTCTAATATTAGGCACTATCTGCCATTAGAAGTTAGGGATGAATATTATAAAAACCAGATTATT